TGGGAGGGGGCCCACTCCATCTGTGGCCCCAGTGATTGGGTGGTTGATGAGGCTGTCCACCGAGACAGTGGACACAGAAGGAGGAAGGAAGGGGGTCTCTCTGGAGGGAGGGTGGTGAGTTTTAGACCTCTTGAGGCTGCAACACCCATGAGATATCGTTCATTCATTTCATTTACTCATACATTCCCCGTGTATCAGGCATCTGAGAGACCAGGATGAACAAGACAGAAGATTGTCATAGGCAGAGGTAAAAGCAGGTGCCGAGGCCCAGTAGGAAGATACCGTGGGGTCTGGGAAGAGTAATAATGAACGGCTCAGGAAGGCGGGAGAATGTAGGAGAGGGGGGTGAGCACGTGAAATGTTTGGGGATGGCAGTGTGGGGCAGGCACTGGCGGTTGGGGGTTGCATTTTAGGAAACCCTTTCTTTTCTCTTCTTGCCCATGTTTGTAGCCCGCTGAAGGATCCCTGGGTTTCTGATTTGTGAAATGGGGCTGATGCGCTGTACAGCGTTGTAAAATAGAGCGATGCTGGGCCCTGGTAATATGTCCCTGCCGTCAAGGAACTTCCAGAAACAGACACTACGTGTGGTAGGTGCCCTGAGAGGGGCCAGTGCGTAATAAGTAGCCAATACCCGCTTGTCGAATAAAGTGCCCATTGAATGCATAGTAGCACAGGGGTCTGGGGAGCTGAATAAAGGAGGCATCGATGGATGGGATCCATCTGGGAGCAGGGGAGTTATTAGGGAAGACTTCCCAGACGAGGTGACTCCCAAGTTGGGTCCTAGAGAATGAGTAGGAATTACCCAGGGGAAGTGGGGTGGGGTGGGGGGAGCAGCATGGGCCAAGGTGTGGAGGTAGGACAGCACGGCGGGCTGGGGGAATTGTAAGTCATTCAGCGGGGCTGGAGCACACGATTGTGCAGGGTGAAGAGTGTAGATGGGTGTGGTCGGAGCACGACCAAGGTCTTGTCACAAAAGACCTTGAGCGTCAGCCTAAGGGGCTTGGATCCCCCGGCTACCCTCCCCGCCATGGGCAGTGTGGAGCCTTAGGTACCTTTTAAGCAGAGGAATGGCTGGTGAGTAAATTTTGTAGAAATCATGCTGGGTACTGCATACTGACTGAGGGAGGGCAGGGCTAAGGACAGGGAGCCCAGTCTTTTGTGGCTTCGTTTGGAAGTAATGACCGTGCTGCTATACCTCTTGGATTTATCTTAAGGGATGGGGCACCAAGGCTTTTAAAAATTATGGCATGCACTGGGCGAGCAGCAGGAACCCTGGTTTCAATCCTGCACCCTGCCATTATCTTGCCCTGCGACCTTGACTTGGCCAAGTCAATTAGCTTCTGAGAGCTTTAGGTGGTTCGTAGGTCAGGAGACCGGCAGGAGGTGATCCAGGTAGAAAGGGAGGGTTGCTGGGAAGGGCTTTGTTTCCCTCACCTCCTGGGCACCAGGGGGTAGGGAGGGGGCCTGCTGTTTCCCTCCTTCCCTCTCCTCCTAAGGAGGAGGGTGAGGACGAGGACAAGGGCAAGCTCATGTATTTTCATGCCGTGGCCTCGACACTCAGCCCCACAGTCCCAGCTCACAGAGGCTGGGAGGCTGCTCTGGGGTGGGCCGACCCCGCCCACCAGCAGACACTCCGCTATTGTTCAAAATGGAATTGGTCCCAGGAAGCTTGGAGCCTGTGAAAACCACCATGAATTTTGCAAAACAGCTCTGAGGCGGTAAAGCATGTCAGAAGAATCAAATGTGGAAATCCCTATTTAGAAACTCCACTCTGGACAGGCATGATGTGCCCGGAGAAGGGATGGGGCAGGGGCTCCGGCCCTAAACGTCCTTCCGCTGGAGCCTCGGGAGTGTGCCCAGCCGACGCCAGAGGAGAGACAGCCCCTTGGCCCGGGCTTCTGCCTGGTTCACCTGGCCTCGGATCGAGTCCTTCCCAAGGCACCCCCCCCCATCCTTGCCCAACGTACCTATACTTTCTTTCTCTTTTGAAAGCAGCTTTATCATTTTGTAAAAAAGGATACATATGCTCGTTGCAAAAAATTCAGACAATATGGAAAAGTTCAAAGAAAAATGTAAAAATCACCTCAGATTTCACCATCCAGAGATAACCACATAACATTTTGGTGAACGTCCTTCCAGACTTCTCTCTGTGCATAAATATACACAAATAGATTCCACGTATGCAATTCTACCCTGAGTGAGATCAGACGCCACATGCTGTTCTGTCACCTGTTTTTTTTCCCCCACTCAGCAATATGTCATGGGCATCCTTCATATCAATACATGTAGATCAACCTCTTAGTTTTAATGCCTGCATTATGCGTGTGGATAGACCTCACGTTACTTACCCAGTCCCCAGCTGATGGTGATATGTGTTTTTCCAATTGGTTTGCTTTTACAGATATCCCCGCAATGAACTTCTGTGTGCATACATCTTTGTGAATTTCATTCATTCATTCGTTCGTTCGTCCGTTTGTTTGTTCTTTCGTTCATGCCACAAATGTTACCAAGTGCATCCTACGTACCAACCCCGGGACCAGGCTGGGGATAGAAAGGGCGAGTGAAACAACGTGGTCAGTGCTTGCTTTTACAGAATTTATGACATAGTGAGGAGACAGGCCATTCAGCCCCTGCCAGCAGGGGAGACAGCAGTTTTCTTTGCATTGAGCTTGTGTCTTAAGTGCTTCCACAAAATAATGATCCAATAAGCATGTGATGCGGAGTGCACAGAAAAAGTGCTCAAAGCGTGAATGAAAAGTTCCAGCTGTGAGCGAGTAAGACCAGAGAAGATACCCTAGACTGGGGAGTCAGGGAGGGCTTCTCTGAGGGGTTGGCACTGAGGTTGAAAGATGAACGGGCAAGAGGCAGGGTCAGCGGATGGACGAGGGAAGGGTAGGTGGGTGCGGAGGGGAACAGCGTGAGGATTTCACTTGGGGGGAGCGGTAGTTTCAATTATTAACATGCAGAAGATTCCTAAAGATGGAATTGCTGGGTCAGAGAGTAAAAGCAGAGTCTGTGTTTCATCTCACGTTATATCTCGCTGCCCGCAAAGGTGTTCTGAGATTCAGTAAGAGCGGGCACAGAGGGTTAAGCCCAGCGCTCACGTACAGGAAGCGAGCCGGTCACTGCTGTTGCCATTATTATTATAATTATCTCTGCTAATATAATCGGTGAAAAATGATATCTCATCTTTGTTTTTAACCAACGTGTCTTTTTTTTTTTTTTTTTTTTTGACTCTGCAGGAAATGAGCCCTTGGGGGGAAATGAACTATCTTTCTTTCTTAAGTCACCTTTGTCAGAACCTTCCTGTGCCCCTTGGCGGGGCGGGAAAGCTCTCTCTGTCCCATCCTCACAGCAGAGCGCCGGGGACTTTGAGATGACTCCAAAGCCCGTGTGGCTCAGGGTGTCCCAAAGCAGGTGCCGCTCGGAGAGGAGGGTGGCTTGAGACCTGTGTCGGCTGGCTGGGTGTTATGCCCGTGGGGAGGGACAGGCAGAGAGGTGGGGGCCCCAGAGGCAGAATCCACATGCTATTAGAAGTGCTTAGAGATCCCCGGAGCTTCTGGATGATGTTAATGCAGCTGTATGAATATTAACAGAGTGGCCATTAATATTGATGACAATAATAAGCAAGTGTGAGTATTATTCTTAAAGAGGGCTGCTGCTTCAGCTGTTGCCTCCCTTCATTGAGACGCTTCTGAGGTTCTCGGCCTTCCTCTTCCCAGACCTCACGCAAGACTCAATGGCAGCCTCGTGACTTCTGCCCGGGCAGGGACTGAGCCAAAAAGGCATTTCCGACACTTCGGATTGGACGAGAATCAATGCAGGAAACCCGAGTTTCCGTCCCAGGCGCGCCGTGGGCCGTGTGAGCGGGCCGGGGGGCGGGCAAGGGATATATCTGCTTGTATATGGGCCGCCAGCTGTGAGGACTGTGCTTCTGACCCGCTCGGGCATAAGGCCCCGCCGTCTACCACCCCAGAGGAGTGTGGGCAGGGGGCTTGCAAGGGGCCCATCTCCAGGTGGCTGGAGGAATTACCCTGCTAAAGTGGTCATGAATTATAGAAAGGAAGAGGTGGGGGGAAGGCCCAGAATATCATATGTGTAAATAAACCAGAGTGGCGGTCAGACATAAAAGCCAGCCACCAAGCTCTTGTACCCAGGGCGTCCCTTCTCTTGCCGACCCACTCGTGCCGAGTACACAGCGCGTCGCTTACAACCTCCTTCTCCAAAGGATTTGTTAATAAGTCAATGACGGAACATCTAAAGGGGAAAAATATTTCTCTTTATAGTTGGAGATAATTGTCCCAGGAAAAAAAAAAACAACAAACCTTTAATTACAACTCACATGGAGAAAGCTTGATTTGTGGGCAGAGCCCAAATGCTGAGGAGCTAGATGTAAAATATTTGTAATATTTAGGGAACCTAGAGTTTTACATAAAAGTAAACAGCATTGCCTGAAGGCACAATTTCCAGCAACACAATAAAATGTGCAGTGAATTTATGGCGGCCATCCATTAGCTCTTACCAAGGCAACGTCGCCCCTATCTGTCGTCCATCATTATAATAGAGGGTTAATGCACCGAATTTACATAAAAAAGTCATATTGTCTGCATGAATTATTTACACTCGAAGCTGTTTTTACAGCTTGGTTTCAAGCTGGATTCTGGGAGAGATTCTGCCAGTAAATTACTCTGTGGAGACCTGGTTCTATAACTGCGCGCGGAGCCAGCAATGAAAAGAAAGGAAAATGGGCAGGCCCTGGCGGGTCGTTGGTGCTGACGCCTCTCGGGTGGGGGCTGGAGGCGGCGGCGGAGGCTTCCGGAGGCTGTTGGACCTTGCCGCAGACGGGGCTCTGTTTCTGGGCCCACGGCTTCACGGTTGCTGCCCGGCTGCCCAGCTGGTCAAAGCCAGTTTGGGCCCGAGGGAACGCAGGGATCCTTCCGAGGTATCCGGGGCGGGTGGGGGTGGGGGGGAGCTCTTGGAGGCTGAAGTCAGAGGTCTTTTAGGGGATCAGGCTCCAGGAGGGGAAGAGGAGCGCCTGTGTTTTAGGAGCAGGGGCCTGGTTCGGCAGTGTGAGTGAGACCCATGGTTCCCATTGTACAGATGGGAAGACTGAGACCTCGGAAGGCACCTACTCAAGAAGCGGGAAGCCCATTCATTCCAGGTGGGCCCAGGGAAGGTGGGGACATACGGACACGTCAGGCAGAGTGGGATGGTGATGGGGCGTCCATCGGGGGACAGGCACAGGCCCCAGGCCTCCCACCTCAGTGCTTATGTTTTCTAGACCTTTGAGTGAGTGGAAGGCAGTTTCAGTGCTTGGGCTGGGGATGAGCTGTGCTTTTGGCACAGAGTTCTTAAATTCTCTTTGCTTTAGGGTTTGGGCTGCTGGGGAGAGCTGCTCGTGCCTCCCGGTGAGGCGGAGGTGGGAGAGCCTCGGCACACAGTGGAAACACACCTGGATTTTTAAGCCCATGCCTGCTGCGTGGCGTTGGGCAAGCCCCCTAGTATCCGGGGGGACTCAGTTTCCTCATCCGTACAATGGGATTCCCAGTCCCGGCTCCCTCAGCCTGTTCCCCAAATGAGGGGAGGCTCGAATGGGATGGCATGCTCTGGGAGGTGTGCAGTGTGTCACAAGCACGGCCACAGGTGACAGGGGTCAGCAGAGGAAAGCCTTGAGGTTAGAGCTGATAGAGGGATAGACAGATGGAGAGAGAAGCCTGGAGAGATCAAAGAATCCCAGAGACAGAGAGAGAGGGAGAGACAAAGAGCGATCACACAGAAACAAAGAGAGAGGGACAGAGATGGACATGGGCAGGAGGTGTAGACCCAGGAAAAAAGAGTCAGGCAAACTGCGTCAGGCTGTGACTTCCTGGAGCCCCGATGGTGTTTTCCTGGCCAGCGGACAGCGTGGCAGGCTGGGGGCTGCCCTTTAGCCTGGACTCTCTCTCCATCCAGGCCAAGAAGTTCCCCGGGGCTTCTCTCTGGCCTGGAGGTTCCCGCCTGGTCACCCTCTGCTTTTCTGTCGCACAGGGAAGCCTGAGCTGGCTGCCAGCCCCTTCCTCCCCCATCCCCCAGCGCCCGGGACCGGCTGGTGCTGCTACACTCGGGTCTCCCGCTCCAGGAGCAGCCACGGCAGGTCCCCAAGGGCCTGGAGACAACAAATGACTCCCCGCTGACGGGTTGCTCGCTGCCTCCTGCCTGCGAGCCCGTTCGGCTGCACACCGCACGCAGATAATCATGTAAGGCAAGGGAACCCCTCCTGCCCGTGGTGCTGTGATTTAAACCTGAACTTTGCTTTGCTTTCATCCCCTGGAGAAGCGAGATTTAGATGATAAATTTCTCCGTCTTCCCGGGAGCGTGCACACACATGTGCGCAGACCTGCGCCTCCACGCACACGTAGAGGTGCTCACACATTGCGGAGCCCCCGTGCATGAGCGCTTACAGATGTGTCCACCCCGTTGCAAACCACACGTGTACACATTCACATGTGATGCATTTGTATGACACGCATGCCATCCCGGGGGGGGGGGGGGACCTGCAGCCCCCGGTTAGGGCAGGAGGAAAATGTCTCGGTGGCCGGAACGGCTAGAGTGCACGGGGTGGGTGGGAGAGGGTGAGGAGGACAGGCAAGGCCGAGACTGGAAGACGCTGTCCAAATCTCGCCCCACCGTGCTGCCTGGAAGAGGGGAAGGAGGTTCCTGTTTTTTTTTTTTTTTTTTTTAAATTTTTTTTCAACGTTTATTTATTTTTGGGACAGAGAGAGACAGAGCATGAACGGGGGAGGGGCAGAGAGAGAGGGAGACACAGAATCGGAAACAGGCTCCAGGCTCTGAGCCATCAGCCCAGAGCCTGACGCGGGGCTCGAACTCCCGGACCGCGAGATCGTGACCTGGCTGAAGTCGGACGCTTAACCGACTGCGCCACCCAGGCGCCCCAGGAGGTTCCTGTTTTTGTGTGAGTGTGCTTGTCTGCACGTGTGTCCCTGTGCACGAGTCCGCGTGCCCATCTGTGGGTGTTGACAAGCGTGGGAACCTTTGTTGCATGCTGAGGTTGGCGGCCTACGGGCAGGGGAGGGTGCGGTGCGTTGGAAAATCACACCCCCGCTGCCGCTGGCCCGCCGTTGGCCTCGGGCAAGCTGGCGCCCCTCTCTGGTCTTCCTTCTGGCCACCGAGGGTCCAGCCAGTTCTGACTTTCTAGTCTGTCTGTGAGAACGTGAGGGTGTGTTTCTCTGAGTAAGCTGGGCTTGGGGGTGCGTGTGTGTGTGGTGAGTTTGAGAAACGATCTGTGTGTATGTTTCACTTAGTGAAAGTATCTGTGAGAGCGAGGACATCCTTGTTTTAAATTGCACCCCTCCTACTCCTTTTCTGCCTTAATCTTCTCCATAACACTGGTCGCCCCTGAACGCCACTGTACTTTTGCTTATTTATGTTGTGTATGGTTTCCGTCTCCCTGGCGGAACGTAAACCCCACAAGGATCGGACTTTTAGCTGCTGTGCTCACGCGTGTATCCCCCCGTTAGAACCATCTCTGGCACAGGTGGCCTCGTGAAACTTCAGTGCATATTCACTGAATGAACAAATGAATGAATGAACAACCTTATCAGCTCCCTCAGGTGTTCTTTTACGGGTCACTTGCCTTCCTTTCTCGAAAATGCTGTTAATCATGAAGTCCTGTATGTGGGCCATTAGAAGTTGACATCGGCGAGGGGCAGATCAAGTGTGGAAAGCCAGGCAAGAGGGAAAGGTACTTTTTAAAAAATGTTTATTTATTTAATTTGAGAGGGGGAGGCAGAGAGAGAGAGAGGGAGACCCACACACAATCCCAAGCAGGCTCCGCACTGTCAGCACAGAGCCCGATGCAGGGCTCGAACTCATGAACTGTGAGATCATGACCTGAGCCAAAATCAAGAGTCGGATGCTCAACTGACTGAGCCCCCCAGGCGCCCCGGGAAAGATACTTTTTAAGAAAGAGAGTGCTGTGTACCTTCCCAGGAGCAGCTTTTCTGACGGAGCTCTGAGGACGGAGGGGCAGATTTCAGGGTATGGGAGGAAGGAGGGAAGAGGGAGGAGGGAGGTGAGGGTAAGGTAAAGACAGTGGTTTAGGTAGTATGTGGAGGAAATGGGAGAAGGCATTAGCTAGAGGAGGCAGTGGGGTCCTGTGGTCATTCCCGCTAGCTTGGTGACATTTATCAACCTTCTTGTCGGGAGCGGCCCAGGTTCCTCATATCTGGTAGCTTAAGTAGGTCTTCTGGGATTTGAGACAGAGAATATCTACCCGACTGTGGGAATTCATGTTGATGGAAACGTCTAGAACTATGTTGTCCGATGCAGGAGGCACTGGCCACACAGATGTGGCCATGGAGCACTCAAGTGTCACTGTTTAAAAAAATAATTTTTTTATTTATTTTTTTATTTTTTTATTAAAAAAAATTTTTTTTTCAACGTTTATTTATTTTTGGGACAGAGAGAGACAGAGCATGAACGGGGGAGGGGCAGAGAGAGAGGGAGACACAGAATCAGAAACAGGCTCCAGGCTCTGAGCCATCAGCCCAGAGCCTGACGTGGGGCTCAAACTCACGGACCGCGAGATCGTGACCTGGCTGAAGTCGGACGCTTAACCGACTGCGCCACCCAGGCGCCCCTAAAAAAATAATTTTTTAATGTTTATTTATTTTTGAGAGAGAGACAGAGCGTGAGCAGAGGAGGGGCAGAGAGAGAGAGGGAGACACAGAATCTGAAGCAGGCTCCAGGCTCTGAGCTGTCAGCACAGAGCCCGACGTGGGGCCCAAACCCATAAACTGTGAGATCATGAGCTGAGCTGGAGTCAGACGCTTAACTGACTGAGCCACCCAGGTGCCCTAAGTGTCACTTTTTACAAAAAAGTTTTATTTATTTAAGTAATCTCCACATCCCACGTGGGGCTTGAACTCCTGACCCTGAGATCAAGCGTCACATGCTTCTCTGAGCCAGCCAGGTGCCCCCCTCAAGTGTCACTTTTTTAATGAGGCCCTGACCACCCTACTTAAAATTGCTGCCTGCCTCCTCCGAGGCACCCAGATTCCCCTTGTCTGATTTTAATTTCTCTTTCACCCTTATCGCCTTCCAATACACTAAATGATTTATTCATTTAAGCTTGTTTTTTGCTGTTGGTGTTCCGGTGAGAACGAGAGACCTTGCAAGGGCGGGACCTTCGTCTGGTTTGGCCACGGATGTATCCCACGTGCCCAGGAGAGCGCCTGGCGTGTGGCAGGTGTTTCGTCAGTGTTTGCTGAGTGATTGGCTGCACTTCCGCCCGAGTGGATTTGTGAAGTATGTTTTGTGAGTGGGCTTGTAAAGTAAGTGCTTGCAGGATGTGAGTGTCAAGGGGCTGTGGGTTTTTTTTGTTGTTGTTGTTTATTTATTTATTTTGGGGGAGGAGGGGGAGAGAGAGAGAGAGAGAGAGAGAGAGAGAGAGAGAGAGACAGAATCCCAAGCAGGCTCTGTACTGGCAGCATGGAGCCCAGCGTGGGGCTTGAACTCACGAACTGCGAGATGGTGACCTGAGCCGGAATCGACAGTTGGATGCTTAACTGATTGAGCCACCCGGGCGCCCCAAGGGGCAGTGTTTTTGCTTGTGGGGGTGACTGACTGTGTTTGGGAGGTGGGTGGGTTTGCTCCAGAGCTCTGTCCTCTGGGGCCTGGGGAGCAGTTCTCTGATAGAGGCTCTAGGATCTGGGCGTCCTGACTGGACATCGTCAAGGGTCTGCCAACAGGCCCAGGATGGCTTCCCCTGGAAACTCCAGGAGTCCTTTCCTTGACACGCTGCCCCATTGGTGGCCATGGGCCTGAGCCCTAGCTCTGGGAGCTCCCTCGGTCTGCTCTCTCCTTTCCCCATGGGCAGACCATGCCCCAAACTTAGGGAATCCCCGCACCCTGTAGCCAGTCTGCCCCCTGGGCTGGGAGGAGTCAGGGTGGTGAAGGCCAGTAGTCAGTACTGGAGGACAGCCGTGCTGGGTGGCTGGACTCAGCATCTGGATAATCTGGACGTGTGGTTGGGAGGAGGGGCCTGGCGGTACCCCTTGGGCAGTGGTCAGTTCAGAGGTGTCAGGACTGGGCAGCAGGTGGCTGGGCCCGGGTGAAGGGCTGAGGAAGAGGGGCCGGGCTGGCCTTGTGCTTAGGCTATGGGGGGGTGGTGGTCAAGGGCCCAGGAGTCAAGAGCTTAGGATGCCCATGTGGAGGTCAGCCTCTAGGGCCAAGACAAGGAACCCAGTGGTCCCAGTCTTCAGGGAGCAATGGGCTTTGGTGCCCCAGTTCATTCCCTTTTATGTGAAGGTGGTGGCTACAGAGCTGCTGGGAGGTGGGGGTGAGGCGTGGCCACCCCTGTGGATGACAGCATCGGGACCCAAAGGCGCTCAACCAAGTGACCTCGGTGCCAAGACCCAAAAAGACAAGTGCACTAGGGCTGGAGACAAAGTATCCCCTCAAGGCCTACATTTAGGAAAAATTGTCTAATATTGAGAGCATGGTGTTTGGGGTCAGACAGAACTGTGTGTAGCTTTCACACTTTCCAGCTGTGTGACTTTGGAAAGGTCACTTAACCTCTCTGAGCCTCAGTTTCCTCATAGGTAAATGGAGATACTTTTCTTTCTTTCTTTCTTTCTTTCTTTCTTTCTTTCTTTCTTTCTTTCTTTCTTT